TCCCTACACTTAATCTCGAAAGGATGAGGCAGGATTTCTTTCTCAAAATGGTTCCCACGCATACAGCAACACATGAAAGAAAACCTAGAGCATTACTGCATAATGAATTTGTGACAGGATTTTTCTGATGCACCACTTTAATAGCTGTTTTCCCTTCCAGGGGCTCCTGAGCGAGCCGTGTCCCACTACAGGCAGGCCATCCGCCTGAGCCCCGCTCACCACGTGGCCATGGTGAACCTGGGCAGGCTTTACCGCTCCCTGGGGCAGAACAAAGAGGCTGAAGCGTGGTACAAGCGGTAAGAATTGAGGAGATGGACATTTCCCTCCTCCCCCTGTACGGCTTGTCTCTGCTAAAGAGCCTCTGATACATGAATCTGTCAGTGTATGTGTGGGTTGTCCTCCCTTCCTTCTCCATCCATATGAAACCAGATTTACCTGTGCTTATTTGGCTATTTTTGGGGAGTGCTTGGAGAGGCAGCATGAACTCAGGCAGTGTTGACTTCCCTGGACCGTTCCCAAGCCCCCAAGGTGGACACGCTGCTGCTTTTGGCTGGAGGATGCTCTAACGATAGTCGGAGGTTTCTCGGTGGCATGAGTAGGTTGCTAGCACGACTCCCACCCTGCTTGAAACTGATCTGTGGGTGCTGCACCGGTAACAGCCATAACTGCTGCACAGCCCAGCACCAAAACCTTGGCACCATTAGGAACTTTGGCCCTTCCCAGCAATGTGTCAGTAGGCAGGCTCTGACTCCCAGTATGCAGCAAGGTGGACTGGGGTTGGGGGGGGGCCTACTTTTTGGCATCCAGATTTGTGCTCACACTCCCCAGGTTCTGCCACCATCAGCCATCCCCACTCCTACTGCATGCTCCTGTGCACTTTGGAGGTGGCCCTCTCCCCTTCTCAAGTGGACAGAGGGATTGCTGATGTGGGCACACTCATCCCTCCCTGGGACCTTCAATTTGTGCTTTGCAGGGTGGGATGAGCATGAGCTTCACTGCTCTGTCCCAGCGCAAGCCACACTTTGCTCTTCTGCTTTGGTCGCCACACCACCTGGAAGCATCTCTTTTTCCCAAATTCCAGGGCACTGAAGGTATCCCGGAAGGCTGAAATTCTGTCTCCGCTGGGCGCTCTGTATTACAACACGGGGCGGTACGAAGAAGCATTGCAAGTCTACAGAGAAGCAGCATCACTGCAGCCTTCGAACAAAGAGATCCGGCTGGCGCTGGTGAGTGTGGGGCAAGCTTGGCCAGGGCAGGGCCACAAAAGTGGGGCACCAACTGCTGGGTGCAGCATTGTGTATTAAGGAGGGTCGAGCTTTTTAAGATCATAACCCTTTATAATGTGGCTCTGTAGGCTCAGGTTTTAGCTATGATGGGGCGGACGAAGGAAGCCGAAAAGATGACGAACCATATACTCAACGAGGATGCAGAGTGTCTGGAGTGCTACCGCCTTTTGTCAGCCATCTACAGCAAGCAGGAGCACTATGCCAAGGTACCATGGCTGCAGGGTTCCCTTGTGCCAAGGGCTCATGCACAGACCTCAGGTTGAATTTTACACTCTGTCTCTCCAGACATGTCTCTCACATGCCTTAGTGTACATTGAGGAGATTTATTTTTTCACTAAAACCTTCTGTTTATCTAGGTACTGGGACTGAAGCTGAGCATTGTGGTTTTCTTACCACTTACTGCTCCTGCTGCTGTCAGCCCCACTGCCCATCAGCCACAGGCATCTAAAAAAGTCATTTCCACATGTGTTAACGATGTGGGGTAAAGAAGGGAAGGAGGAAGATGACTCTTATGCTGGGAGGCCCTAGCGGTGAGGAGAGCATGAGAAGTGGAAAGGAGCAGAATACAATAACACAATGTCCCCTTGCTTTTTCACAGGCACTTGAAGCTATAGAAAAAGCTCTTCAGCTAAAACCAAAGGATCCAAAAGTCCTATCAGAGCTCTTTTTCACTAAAGGAAACCAGCTAAGAGAACAGAATGTCCTTGACAAGGCTTTTGAGGTATGACAGCTCTAAGCCCTACGTATAGTTTTATAGGTTAAAAGATAGAGTTAGTTCATTGCATCTAATACTCCCTGGTGCACGCACCCTGGCTGTTGGCCTTGGGAGCTCAGCAGTTCACCAGTGGTACAGCTAAAGCTATGGGGCAGCTGACTTTGCCAGACTTAGATTCAACTTTTTTCCTCATTCCTGTGTGGAAATACAGCTGCCTGCTCTGAGAGGTTAAATACAGAGCCGTGGTGGGATTATGGAGGAGCCTAGGCCTTTTCTCATTGACCCGACCCTTGGTCCATCCAGCCCCTCTTGCTGGCAATTGCCAACTCCAGGTGGCTCAGCTGGAAGCCTGGGGACCTGTGAGAGCCCACCACATTGTTCTATCTCACCTTATTACTTAATAGCTAAGAGATTGGCTTATCCTGTGGAGCAGGAGGCTTGTTAACTCTGAAATTATGTTAGCATCACAGAATATTTTTGGGACAGTTCTGAATATTCTCAATATCCCTAGAGATGTCTAATGCTGATTTGAATCATCTCCTGTTGTGACACTGTAAAAATAGTGCTGTTTGACATGAGTCTAGAAGGTCCTTGTTGCTGCTTCTCCCATGCACAGTGGCAGAAGCAGTGGGGAGGGATAGCACTGCCCTCAGGTCCTTGTGAAACCTCCATGCAAGTGGCTGTACTGTTATCTGCTGCCAGCTCCAAATGAAAGCCTTGCAGTTAAAGAGCATCACAGCCCACATATGGCTTGTGGTTGGCAGGCATCTGCCCAAGGAAATGACCCTGCCATGCAGGAGACCCGAGCAATGCAGGGGGGCAGGGAGAGCGTCGCAGGGGTTGGTGTGGCTCCTCATATGGTGCTGTGGGCAGGGAAAACCTGTGAGATGAGCTCAGCGGTGAAGCAGTATATTATGTTGCCTCTGCTGTAAAGAAACTGAAATTCATCTTGTGCATTGTATATGAGTAGAATTTGAAATTATATTTTAAGTGGATTCAGAAGGAGAGAAAACTTAGTTTCTCGTTCCCCTGCAGGAGTGGTTTTGTTTGAAGAGTCAGACTCATAAACTAAAAATGTTTCATATTTATGCAGAGCTATAAACGGGCTGTGGAGCTCAACCCAGACCAAGCACAGGCCTGGATGAATATGGGAGGCATTGAGCACATCAAGGTATGACAATTTTGCTTTTCCTTAAGCTGTCAAGTGCAGAGACTATTAGTCAGGACAGAAAGCTGAATTTGTTTCAGACTGCCAAGAGCTGCATGTTTGTGAACAGTGAGTGTCCCCAACATATTTTATCCAAAAAGGAGGAGAGTCTGTCCACCTCAGCTAGAATTTCCCAACCAGGTTCCTTGGGAATATGTATCCTCTAATGTGAATCTCATATTTCAAGAGGGCAGGCTGCAAGGAACAACCTGCCCATCTCTTAAAGTTTTCCTGCTTCAGTTGTTGACCTACCTTAGAAAAATGTCACCATGAGTTGACTTTTAAGGTTCCTTTCTACCTAATTAATTTAATAAAGATGTCTAATGCAGAATACTGGCATGAAATTATGGAAATAGCCCGCCCTGTGGTTGCTTATCTTTTTGAATATTTTAGCATATCATTATGATTTGGGTCTTAAGGAGTCACATTGTGTGATATCCTCAAACTATCCTATCGCTGAGTAAAATTAACTCTTCTAGTACAACATACCAGAAAAATGTAAATCTACTTCTTGCCATGTGCATTTGGTCAAATTTAGGGTAATGGCACTCAGTGATCTATTTCATAAGGAAGAAGTATTCCCGTTACCTAACCATATCAAGTTTTATAAACTCTTTTTCCTGTGTATTACAGTCTTCACCATTCCCAGGGAATGAACTTTCTACATCAGGGAACGTGAATGAGATCTGTTACTCATTTTCTTTGTAGGGGAGCTACGTCACTGCCCGTGGCTACTATGAGAAAGCCTTACAGCTGGTTCCAAACAGCAAGTTGCTGAAGGAGAATCTGGCCAAACTGGACCGTTTGGAGAAACGGTTTCAGGAAGTCCAGGAGAAAGACCAAACATAGCATTCAGTTACCAGTGGAAAGAAACTCATGCCCCTTGGAGAAAAGTATGGCGGAAGCCTATTGCTTGAAGTGATGCTGAAGGAACTTTAATAGGACTCAGAATTACGGACGGCAAATTTCAAATGCATGCTCATGTTTGACCAAAGTTACAGGAGACACTCAGCTCCTGTGGGACACGGTGGAGAATGAATGAAAACCTTACTTTAATCAAGATTTATGTTTAGGCTGAACCCATTTTAATCACACCAGGAGTGTGGGTGGGACATGTACCTTCAATATCTTGGTTATCACTGGGGAAACCCTGGAGTCAAAGCACCCATCCGTTGCAGCAGGGGTGAAGTAGCACCCCTTGCTACTCAACACAGGCTCGCCTCGTCCACGTAAAGTACCACTGATGGGCTTCGTTGCAAGTGCTGCCAGGTTCTTCTGAGCCAGGAAAGATGGTCATAATGGCCACGTAAAAAGGTTTCAAGGAGTTAATGCTGAGGAAGTGGTGGCCACTTTTACAGCTCTAAATGTGACTTGAAAATTATTCTAAAGAAAGGGAAAATGGTATCTGATTATCACCGTAGAGGATGATTCTACCAGTAGGACAAATGATCCTTTGAAGGAAAACCTCACCTGAATGTTTTACTCATAAGATAGTAATTTTGTAGTAATTCAGGTTCATCATGTCAGTATTGTCAAATACCATATGGCTTTACCCTTTGCCCTCTCTGTCCAGGCCAAATAATTATTACTTTGAAAAAAATAGAGGCATCCAAAGGCAATGGGAAGCTGTAGGATTACTTGTCCTCCTGTCCAGTCCCCAGTAAAAAACCAAAACAACCAATCTGACCAATATAGGAGGTGAAGTAAAGCCATAGAGAGATTAGGGAAGGTTTCCTAGCCTGGAAAGGTACTAAGGAGGCTTTTTTATGGGTGTGCAGGGACAAAGCCAATTTATCATGGTGATAACACTGACAAAACACTTTGTCAAAGTGTTGTCATCCCCTCCCCCAAAAGATACAGAAAATTACCTATAGCTGATCAGTCATAAATCTATATTTTTAAATACTGAAGTGGGAAAACAAATTATCTTCAGAATTGGGGCTTTTATTTTTGATCTTTATTTATTTAACTTATAATAATCAAATAATTAATATATTTTCACTGTTTTACACAAACTGGGCAGTATCCTTCACAGCTGGCCACATGGCTGGGCGTTGTGACTTGTATTGTCTGAAGTTAGAAAAATGCATTACCACCGAGGCATGCTTGAATAACTCCCTCTAATGATGTTTCTAAAGCAAATGGCTGCAGAGCACATTGGACTGTACTGTCAAGGCAATAACAGCACTTCTGCTGCTTCCACCAGGGTTTGTAGCAGTTCACAGAGAGCATTAGTGGTATCGTGCCTGGTTGGGTTTGGACATCAGGGCGGGTCATCAGTTTGTTCCTCTTGCAGCAGGAAACTGCTGTAAAAGTTGTTATATTTGAGCTTGATTGTGGCCAGTCCCTGCAGAAAAGCAACCCAGGGATTGGCATTATTAGTAAAGGGCAGTTCAGATTAGGTACGCAATGCCTTGATACACATCTATCAGGAAAAGCCTGTGTGGCAGTGACCCACGTGGTGCCCGGGTTTAGCTGGTGCTGGCCATGGCACCTCAGCAAGCTCCGAATTCACTCAGCGTGATGGGACAGCCATGCGCTGGTGGCTCTGCTGGCTTCATTTAAAAAGCTTGGTGTCTAGCCACTACTGGTGGTCAGATTACTGACAAATTATTGACATGATTCCAACTGCATTTGGAGCTCAGAGGGAGTCCAGAATGGTGCAGATGTCTGCCCTGCCAGGGCTTGTGGACCTGCTAGAGCCATGGCTGTGCACCCACTGAGACGAGGCTGGACTTGGGAGGTACTGGTCCCCACTGGCCAAGGAGACTGGCCAGTGCCTACAGCTGGGCAGAGGTGGGAGGGAGAGACCATTGGGGGGGAGAAAGTGATGACACATATTTCTAGGCTCTCTGTCTTCAAACTAGCTTCGCAGGGGAGCAGCTGGGACCAAAGTAAGCAAGTCTTTTGCTCATTAATTTTCTCTTCTCCCCCCAGCCCAAGCAGCCTAGTTTGCTTTCTGGGACTGAAGGCAGGTTTGAGATCCTGGGGGCTGGGTCAGCAACCCATGTCTTTTCACATGACTTTTATGGCCACGGACTTGCTGACCTGACATTTCTGCAGGTCCCCAGGGCAGGCGCTTCGCTGGATACCATGCATGGAGTAGCTTTGCACAGGATGGCCGGGAGGAGATGGAATCGCGCCAGCAGAGTCCCGTGGGATGGAGAAACCGCTGCTCAAATGGCCTCTGAGAGCAGTCAGTTCCCCACCGTGCATTGCGAAGTTGTAGATGGTTCATTACTGGGGTATTCAGAGATACCTGGACTATAAAGCTCTCTACCTCTCCCCAAGTTGAGCCTGCCTTTGGGGCAGCTTCACCAAAGCCCCATGTGCCCAGGCTGGCTGCCTGGCTGCCTGCCCGTGGCACCACTGCATGG